GAGCTCCTTGGGAAGGACGGTACCTGTGCGACTGCTTGGCAGGGGGATCCTGGCAGGCAGCTGCTCCTGCAACTTAAAATTCTTTTCATTGTTTGATATAGACATCCCTGGGTGGTCAGACAGCCGTGGTCAAGAATGTGGACATGCCTAAAGAAATGCAGCAAGATGTTGTGGAGTGTGTCATTCAGTCTCTGGAGGAACACAACGTCAAGCATGATACTGCAGCTCATATAAAAAGATAAGCGTTTGCTCATAATGTCTTCCTACTGAATGCTATATGGACTTCAAAAATTAAGCAAAAATGTTGGTGGGTAAGTAGTTCTAGAGAAACCAGTTCTGTGGACACTAGATAATCCATTCAGACTTTCTCTGCAGACTGGTGTCCTTATGTTCCTTTCTGTACCCCTTATATGCACTTTTTTGGTTCTTCCCCTTCTCTTTCACAATTCCTTCCATTTAAGTCCTTTCTTCTACTCTCCAAGGACAGCACTTGAATAGTAATACTAAGTTCCTGGTGGTTTCTTCCGCAGGAGTTTGACAGAAAATATAATCCTACCTGGCAGTGCACTGTGGGAAGGAATTTTGTGACTCAGAAGACCAGTCACTTCATCCTCGTATGCCTGGGTCCTGTTACTGTTCTCATCAAGGGTGCTTAGAGCTATGGACTGTTTCTCAAACTCTCATCTCATTAGTCAATTGTGTGCTAATGGCACAAGCCTGGTGCCTTCAGCCTTCCTGAGGGAGCACAGCTTGGCCTTGAAGGGTAATGGCAGGGATTTTGCTGGCATGGTTGATGTTTTTTATTGTAGTTGGGGGAAAAATAGCAAAAAACAAAACCAAAAACCTTCCTTGTATTTATTTTCTTTCCACAGCCAGCTTCTTTGCTAATAAAAGTGTCATGTTCTGCCTTTAAAAGTTTTATGACTATGTACCCTCTTATTCTAGTATTGCTTATGCTGTTTCGTATCTCTCAGTGAATGTGGATGACTAACTTTGTTAGGTTTCTTTTCCCAAATCCAAAACATCTAAACGCTGTGGTAACCACCCTCATACTTTGGTTAGTAATTCTGAGAATAACAGACCTAGACAGGGAGCAAACAGGAGTTAAAAGAAGGCATTTTATGAGGCTTCTCGTAAAATATTATTTATTAGCTCTGCCCTTTTGCACTCCGCCCCTACTTTTCTTGTAAGAAACCTGGGAAATGTTTTCCCAGTGAACCTGAAGCTGTCATCCCTAAAATAATGGGAAAGGGATCAGCAGATAGGCTCAAGATCTTTGAATGTTATTTTAAGGGTTAATTAAAATGCCTTTAGAATCTCTGTTGTTACCAAAAAACCTGGTCAAAGAAACTCTCTAAGGCTCAGGTTTGGAGTTTTAGAGAGCAGGCATTCTTTATTGCAGCGCTGGGTACGCGGGGGATTGCTCCACCTATCGTGCACACCGTTACCTACAGCATGCAAAGATTTATATTATTTCAGTCATACATATTCATATGATCATTTACATAGTGTCCACCCTTTGGTCACGCGCAGTGTGGGCCATCTCTTTCTCCTAGTTAATTGGCCTTGGCAATTTTTAATTACAAAAACTCAGCAGAACTCGAAGCTTATCATCAAGGCCCAAGGCTTCTTGTCTGCTGACGCACATCAGGCCTGAGGCCTCCTGTCTGTTGGCGCCTCCAACGCATACCATTGGCAAGGTCAAGGTTTTTCTTATCTATTTAGTACATACCAAAGTTTTGAAGTTTTCAAGCAAGGAAAAGTTCGTTAATACAGCTATACAGTAAAATGTTCCTTCTCCTGCCTTTGTTCAAGGCATCACTGTTGCGTTGTGCTTTTTCCCCTTTTGGTTTGAAGGAAAAGTTTAAAAGTTCACTTAAACTAGGCATTGTATTTTTATACTTTCACAGTTGTTTGCTACAGTTCAGTGGAAATGCTTGATTTTTTTATATCCTCTCAGGCCTCTGTGTTCACCAGCTTAACCCCTAGCACTGTCAACTCCTGCCTGCTTGGGAACTGACAGCCTTCAGTTCCTTCTGTTCCCAACCTCCCTCCTCCTCCCGAGTTGTTTTTTGACGACTTTTCTTCCTCTTTGTTTCTTTTTCCGCTGCTGCCTCTTGCAGAACCGCTTTGGAAAATAAACAAGATCTGCCCGAGCCGCCAGGACTACAGCTCCCGGCGTGCTCCGCGGCGGCCGAGGACTACGAGTCCCGGCGTGCCCCGCGGGTCCGCCCGGGAACGGCTCCATCCGGGTCCCGGCCACTGCTGTGGGCGACTCGTCGCCATTACGGGGCAGCGGCGGCCGAGCCGGGGCCGGGGCGGGGCCGAGGAGCCGGTGGGTGCCTGGGTGGCGCCGACCACTCGGGCGGCAGGCAGCGCCGGGCCCCGCGGGGCTCCGTGAGCAGCTTCCCTCCCTCGTCGCCCGGAGCCCCGCAGAGCCCGGCCCGGCCTCCCGCGGCCCTCCCCGGTTCGAGCGGAGTCAGCGAGAAGATGTCGCCATGAAGGAGGCCGAGTCCGCGCTGCGCCGCCCCCGCCGG